GATTTTGTGTATTATCTTTTGCATCTTTGAACATGCAAGATGATTGATGGCCTCCCAGTCTGGAGCAGAGACACAACATTGTGTCCCCTCCTACCTACCCCTTCTCAACCGAACTGTTTTCGATTTGAAGATTTTAAATTTTCACTTCCAACACTTCACAACGTTTTGCTGATGATGCGCTCGCCTCAGATGTCATTGTGTTCGCTTCCGAAATTTCATTGTGCCTACCCAGCTGTCGGTAGGCACCAGGCTGATTGAATACTGTACCAATATCTGCCCAAAAGGCGGAGCGGCTCTTGATTGCTCATGACCAGTTGTGTTTCTGCAGGTTGGTAAGATATTTCATTAGCATCAGTAACATCCGGCCATTCACAAGACTGGGGCCGCCATGGGCTTGATGGACAACAGGTGGTTATTTCAATGAGGGTTGACATCTCTGGAAATTAAAGTTTGCGGAGGGCGTAAACTTCAGGACTTAACTTGAACTTTCTTCGGAGATGTAGACTTTGGCCTAGGGAGTTTCCACATGTGAACAGTATAGACAGTATACTGTAGATCAAGATCAAAGTGCTTCCTCTGATGTGTTTCTTGTGACGCGGCTTGGCAGCTCAGCCAAAATAGGGCCCCTCAAAAAATATGTCTGGGTTGCCTAGAGGAAAAGTCTCTTGGAATGTTGACATGAGAAAGTGTTTGCAGTGGTCTGGAAAAAAACAATAGACGTCACATGCCTCTAATTGTGCATGAAACTCCTTTTTTGAGGTCCTTTAGATGAGACTCCGAGAGATTCAGGGGCATTATGCCCTGCAGTCAAAGGGATTTGGAATCATTTGCAGAGAGTTCAGTTTGAATCCAACCTGGCCTGATTTCTTGCCATCAAGATCTCTTGCCATCAATGCCCTTTTAGGTGTAAGTGAAGATAGCCGAGGCTGTCGCTTCCATGTTGTCAAAATTCTCTCGCGTTTGTGGTGCGAAAGCGTGACAAAGAAGCATTCGCATCATCAAGCAACACGCCACAAACATATGTGACTTGCTCAAAGTCCGAGAAGTTGCTTTGGAGCACGATAGAACTTCCCAAAGCAACAGTGTGTGTGCCGTCCAAATCTATGGAATGCTTCCCAAAGCAGAACTTTCTTCCAGACTACATCTGTGATTTCCCCTTCCTTTTGTCCACACCAGTGCCTGGGACTGGCACACGATGGGGCAAATCCAGACCAGTGGTCTACTTCGGACACTTCCCGGCTGCCTACCATGAGATATATCGTGGTACTGACCTGGAATGCATCCCTTTGCTGCGGAAATGCCATGCGCCGACGCTCATGGTTTTGTGGAACATCCTTCGTTTTCCTGTTGCAGAATTCTATTTCCAACCTGCTGCCAATGTCCCCGTAAACCTTTCCAGCAAGGGGCACAAAAAAAATCGAAACAAAAGCGTACCTGCATGAGCATACTGGCATGAAACCAGCTGGGTGTGTGTTGACGCCCGGGTTTGAACACCAAGTTGTGCCTCAATCCAGTCCTTGCCGATCTGAAAAGTATGGATGCAGGGCGTCAAGTGCTGGAGCTTTCGGCCTCGGAAGGGGGCTCTAAATAGACTGTAGACTGGGTGTTCGTTTGTTTTCGTACTGAACATAATTTGAGCCCCCCAATGTCCCATTTTTTCTCACGCTGCCTTGAAGCGTGTGGTTCCAACTTGAAACGCTCAAGTTCGTTCAGCAAGACGATGCCCAAATGGGTTTGGAAACTCTCTGTGATTTTTTTGAACAGCATTGACTGCGACACATTTCTGTGAGTGTATCAGCTGAGGGTAAATTGCTCAGGTCTGTTTTGCCCCACACCATCCCCACAGAGTTTCACAGATAATTAGATAATTAGCTATCCTGTTTGCAAGATTCATTAGTTTCGCTGCCGGAGATCATTGACCAGGTTGGGCATGAACTATGAACAACAATCCTAGGGAGCATTTCTAGGGTTTCAAGTTGACATACATAAAGAAAGGCAAGCTTTGTGCGCAGATGAGAGCCATCTCTCGCTGAGCATTGCCAAAGATAGGGTTTAAAATCGCCTGTGCAATCCAGATCAACATGACTAGTCCCTTCCTCAACTGGCGTCCCAAGGAAGGGTTTGGTGCGGTTCAAAATTATTGACCCCCTAAAATGATGGTTTGCGACTGCCAAGGAATAATTTGGTGCTGTCTTGGTGCCTTCCGTTTTGGGTTTTCCTCCAACCACAATTCAGACTTTAGCCCTTTCAAATGAACATTCTGACAGCATGCGTGCCTTGAAGAAATGCCGACAGCATACAGCGAGATGAACCTTTGCTGTACTCTAAATGATGGGTATTACGCACTTGGAAGTCTTCGCGTTGGTTTGCAAGATTCACATGACTCTGGTCTTTAGGAGTTATGTAAGGCTGCAAAATGCCCCCCACTGGTGAGCAGGTGAACGTCCCAGCGAAATCTGTGTATTCAAGCAGTTCGTCCATATTTTTTCAAACATTCACCAGGGTGACGGGGCAGAGTACGCTGCGTCGCTTCAGTCTAAACGTTGATGTGTCCCAGCTTGTCTCTGGAAAAACGAGAACACTCATTTTTTTCGACGGCATCAATATATACAGTACCAGTATGGACCAGTGAAATATGGTTATCCAGGTATCCATATCAACCCTTGCCGGTGCCTTTGCATACGCAAGTGATCAGCTAGTGGCAGGTTGGTCTTGTCGCAAGTCGTGTCGGCTGCCAAAAACATTTCGCGACTGGAAAGCTGAACCTAGGTTCCATTGAATATCTGTCAGTCTAGAGATTTATCGCCATATCAGGGGATACTAATCAAATTGGTTCACAGCTTTAAACCAGATTTCACCACCGAAAAAATCTGGGCTTCATTGCCATTTCCCAGTTCTGTGCCCTTCTGCTCCAACTCCTTTGCTGAGGTCACGAGTCAGGCTTGGACGAAGAAAATGAGCTGCGACGACCCGTGAGTCTGGAGACATTTTGACATAGAAACGCCTGATATATGAGCTCATTTCCAGAGGATGTACTGATGTACCAATGTACTTCATTGAAGGATTTGGAATCATTTGGGCCTTTTTGGGGCCACTGAATATGGTGGATGTTGAATGATACGATTGTACGGCAGGTAGAAGATGAAGTTGCGAACATTTTTGGCAGTGCTTGCAAAGTGAGAGTTTCAAGAGTGTACCCAGAATCAGTGAAGAATACAGTTGCAGCGGTGCAGCACTTTCTCCCCAACCCTCATCGGATATTTTAGCAAGGTGTTGTTGATACCTACCTTTCTTCCACTTGACTTGCAGCGCTTCAAGCTTTTCCGAGCCTGGACGGAGCCTCAAACTGTCAACACGCGCATCAACGACATTACGATGATTTTTTCTGTTTGGCGAGCGCAAGCTGACAGCTCAAACGTATGACAAAACCAAAGTTCTTGGAACCACTTCCACAGAGCTGATGGTTTTATTCTTTGTCGGGTCAGCAAATTCAATTTGCAGGATCCTGTAGGGCGTCAGGATCAACAGGATCAAAGGACCACAGCGAGAGAGAGAGGGAGAGAGGGAGAGGTGGCATAGCAGCTGTGGAGCCTTCCAGTGTGATGGCCCTTGCGCTTTCAGAGGAATGCAGCTGGCTTTCTAAGCCGGTGAGATCAAGATTCCTCGCGTTTTCAGTGAGCCAAGTTGTATCTACATATTCCTGGGATGGCTTGTGCTCGCAACACCCAAGTACAAGAGACGTGTCGTCAGCGTAGCATCATAAGACAACCCTCGTTTGTGTAGCATCATAGCTGTGCAAGTGCAACATACAAACCAAACTTGAAATTTGGGCAACCCCCCCACCCAACATGTTGCGTTCTTGATATCTACACCATCTATACCTTTTTTGACCCATGAAGTTGGGATACTTGATACAGGTATCCAGGTATGGGCTATGCATCCTTGCAGGAGCCCAGGACTCGAGCCCTGGGAGGCTGGCATGTGGGATGTCCATACTCAAGGCTTTGGTGACAGATGTAGTTACAGTTGTAGCCTGAACGCAGACCACTATACAGCTCAGCCACATCCATTGTTTCCGAAGCGTTTTGCAAATCGCAGCCGGCAATGCAAGTGACAGTTGCAGTGGTTGCATTTTTGGTGAGAAGTCAACAGGTGCGAGAAAGTTGACGCCGAGGCGGCTGTTCGCAGTGCTGCTTTTGACTTCTTGGGAACTTCTTGATTTGAGCAAGGTCTTAGAATCTAAGGCAAATCAAGAGAAAGATAAAGGATCTGAACAACATCATGAACACTTCAAAAGCTGTTCAATAGCTGAGAAGCAGAACAAAGATGCACTGGATATGCGGTATGCGCGCCTAAGCCTGATCCATCATGATCCTAAACGAATTGCTGAGGGATGCTCTCCTTGTAAAAGATGCCACTGAGTCAGGCAAATTCCCAAGTGCGAAGACTTTTATCCAAGGCGGGAGTAGCACTTTGGGGTTCTGCCATTCGGAAACACACCCAACCCGTCCATTTACCATACTGCCATACTGAAACTGAGACGAAAAGTATCTAAAAAGCATAAACAACTCATTCCGCGTTTTAATGTATTTTTGGGGCCAAAAAATTGCACATCCCTCTATTCTGAGTGAAGGATCAGCAGGTTGCACCACCCATCGCTCAGCTGCTCAGTTGCTTGGACAGCGATGAGAACCGATGGGTGGAAGACTGAGACGGTGACGGGCACTTGCCGAGTTGCGAACTTCGCAGTAATTCTAAGTATTCAAGCTTGATAGCTTGATAGTAGAATCAACAAGTTCGATTTTGTCCCCAAACATCAGAAATCAGAAAGGTCAGTAACATTTTGCCAAGTCAGTACTCTTGCAAGCTTTCATGTCTCCTGGAGGGGATTTTCCAGCGTCATGTGTTGTTTTGATGTTGGTGTTGCTGTTCTCTGGTTCAAGACCTAAAGATCCTGAAGTAAGGCAACCGGCAGAGATACATCGATACATCTCCTTAGAATGGCCACAAGTATGGCACTCTACCAGGACAAGTTTGTGGAGATCTATGCGGATCACATCAAGATCAAGTCCTACTACGCCCCTGTTTTTCGGTCCAAGCGAATCAATATCGGCAAAGAGTGTCGAGTTTCTTTCGCCACTGATGAGGAACTGGGCTTCACAAAGGTAGACAGAAAAGGCTGGGGAATGGCGCTGAACAATGTTTGGTGGGCTCTGGACATGAGGCGGGAATTCATTTTCGGAGGACCCAAGCACCCGGGCATCGTCATCACCGTGGGCAGAGACACCTTTCGAAAAGGTTTCAGCGTTGAGGATGGAGAAGCAGCCGTGAAAGTCCTCGAGGCTTTGTTGCCAAGAACATGGCAGTGATTTTTTTCATCCACACCTGGCGTGCTTGGCAGGTCCCTTTGTCTGCCTAGTGGAAATGGATCTTCTGGTTGAGACGTTGTTTTGACTTGACCTTGAACACTAACTTTTTGTACAGTGTTTGGTCGCAAGGACGGCCGCGCTAAACAGCCTGTGTTCTGTACAGAGGTTTGAGTGAAGGTCTACATTATACCCTTGCTTGTATTGCATGGAAGACCTAGGACAACGAACGTCACAGAACAAAAAGTGAGGAATGCGAGTTGAGCGTCAGGTGTTCTTTTGGGTCCACTGCCGGAGGGATTGCGGGTATGACACGGAAACCAAACGGAGATGCCTCATTTGCTTTCATGCAGCTCTCCAGAGAATGGGCTTTGTCCTAAGCCCGTCATCCAGTCCCAATGGTTAAAGTTAAGATCACTAATGTGGATCAAAAAATCATAAACCATCCATTTGGGAATGGTGACCATACTGTAACACCTATAAAAATTGTGATTTGGAGATGGTTTATGGCATATTATGGCATTGTCTTACCTACATTACTGCCATATATCGCAATGGCCAGGGCGCTGACCTGCGCAGTGCAGTGACACGGCTGGAAGCGCGGATGCATGCGCTGGAGGCACCTGAGAATGGCCTGAAAGGGGAGCGACAATATGATGCCTAGGTGATCGTATGCATATGATATATATATATATAATATGTGTATATATATACCGTATACATGTCTTCTGCAAAATATGTATATGTAAATATACACATATGTTTACTGTTTATACAATATACAAAGATGACATACACATAAACACTCAGTAGATAACCAAACAAAGAGAGAGTACAACCAACCAAAGCTGTCAAACATGGCAGTGGAATCACTATAGCAAATCTGCCGAAAGGAGCTTCAATGGCACCTTCCGAAAACAACTTGACTGAGCTGATTTGTGGCCCATGGTTGATGTTCAAGCAGACAACACAAGGCAGAATCTGCGTCCAATCCATCATAGGATCATTTCACCAATATTGTAGAGAAAACACTACTGGATATGTTTGGTCTAAAATCACTCGCAAGCAGTCTCATATCATATATTTGGAATATGGTATCCTCAGTAGTCAGACTGTAAAGTCTGTAGAGAATCTGGGTGTCCATTGTCCATTCGGAAACAGACTCGCTGTGCAGGGCCAGAACCTGCGCTCCGATCGACGTGCCGCAGAGCTGGCTGGTCTCACGCAGGTGTTTCGAGCGATGGGACCGGTGGGGTTTGCTATTTTGTTGTCATTTTTATATACCATGTAATGTATATATATATACATACATAATATATATATATATACATATACATAATAGGTATTTTGATATGTTGGTGCCAGTTGGTGCCTTTCCACTTTGGCATGCCATGCAGGTGTTGCTCACATTTTCACCCAACCTTTGCAACTCTGAGGCCCTCACTGAGGAGCAGCGCGCTCTGCTGATCCGCTTGGATCGGTTGGAGGATGGCCACCTGGGGGACACCATCTGGAGGATGGCCACCTGGGGGTTTCCATAAATGGAGATACCCCATAGCTGGATGGTTTATTTCATGGAAAATCCATCTATAAAATGGATGATTGGGGTGTACCCCTATGACTCAGGAAACCACCACCTTTGACAGCCAAATGAGATGAGACTTTCTTGCACATTGCTGCATTGCTGTGAAGTCAAGGACTTGAAGCGAAGAGACGCTTTGCAGGTGCCGTTGCACAATCCAATGGTTTTTCATGGATTGAAAATCACGATCTTTGGCAATTTGGGGCACAGTTCCAAACAAGAGCCAGTCCATACTGTCATACTGTCTTTGAAGGAGACTAGTGACTAGGAGGTCTCTTTGTTTTTGTTCTTGAAATTGCCATGTATCAGTATCAGTGGCAAAACCCTATTCCTGACGGATGAGAACATGAGAGAATTGAAAGACGATAAAACTGTGGGAACCAATGGTCCGAATCTGAAGAGTAGGTGGTTTCCTGTCGGTTTCTTCCCCAATTCGACGGAGTCCAAGTCAGCCTCAATCACAACATGTTTTGTTGAAGCTTGTAAAAGCGCGTGCCCCAAAAAGTGCTCCGCACAATGACTGTCACCTCAGGTGAGTGTAGACGGTGTGAATTGAGTTCTTTTTCTTGATCAAGCAGTGTTCAAAACCCCTGTAGGTTGATGATAGTGGGAGGTTATGCTATTTACTATGTTGGGGACTATCATCTGGGAATCCTGTTCTTAACCAACCAGTTCCAAAATGAACGTATCAATACTCATCACCTGTTGGATAGCTCAAGCCCACTCAGCCAATCACGCATAGCCAATCTTCTGGATCTTTGGGTCATCAAGTTTGACCCAAAAATCCCTTGAATGTTGGACAACTTTGGCCAATACCAGAGAATTCCTTTGAGATTCTTGAATTCTGGATGGCTGAATAGAAAATAGATAATAGATCCTACCTTCCTTTCTATCTTGGATAGCACCTTTAAAGAAATCAACCTGGTTTGGTATTGGATCCCTGGGGTCCCATGGCAGGTTCCCGAAGATCGCCTGGGACGCTTGGAACAGGAGCACCGAACCCTGGCCTTGGAACTACGTTTGACGGCGTCGGTGGCTGAGGAGGTCCGCCAGGGGGAACCACCATGGCGGACCATGGAGGCTGCCAACAAAACTTGGTGGATTCCCAGAGATGTTGGCTTCCTTCTGGGATGATCATCTATGCATGCTTTGGCTTTAGCGACTGAGAACACTAAAGCCAAAAGATCGTGTTGAAATGTTTGTCAACATTGTGTACCCAGAGATTTATTGATTCAGGCTTGTCAGAATATAGTTGGAATGTGACTGGGAAAGTTGATGTATCCAACTATGGGCTAGGGGCCAGAAAACCTAGGACCTGTATTGTTTGGGGTAGATGGTGATCAGTTTTTTCCTCCTGACTGGGGGTTTTCAGACTTCGCAGGACTAGAGAGTCTAGCATTCACAAGAATCCTTTGGAATCCTTTGAAACTATGCCATATTCCCTGCAGGCACAGCAGAAGCAGCAGCAACGGATTCGATCGTTAGAGGTCCCGAAGCTCAGAATCCAAAACGTTGACACGCTTACTGGTCGTATCTGATTGTATTTAGTCGTTTCATATGCTGCGAGATATGAGCTGCAGATTTATGTGTCAGGAGTCCATGGGTGCAAGGCTTCGAAAACTGGAGCATGGAGGATCTGATCTGTTTCTGGGGCAGTGGAAGAATGGACATGTTCACAGAACAGGACGTGAGATTGACTTTGGAAGAGTGATATGGCACGACGTTTCTTGTGATTGTCAGATCAGCCAGTAGGGACTAATGAAGTTTTTGAGAAGGGCGATTGGAGTTTGCGAAGCGAATCGTTTTCCCTTTACTTGCATAGTGTAGTCCTTGATCTATTATGTTTGGGATCCAATCTGGTATCCAACATTAAGGGTGGGATTGTCGTTTTCAGAGCATTCCTCATTGGTGTTCCGATGCAAATCAGCAACATGCTAGGAGAAACTGTAGTTGAGGTATTCAATTTATTGGAGAAACCAACGGCCAGAGCGGAGCCATGTGCGAAATGATTCTGAAGGATTGGTTGAGCTGGACCAAGATCCACCTGGATGCTTGAAACCCTTCCAATTGCAGCGGTTTTCCTTGCGTCAATGTGGTCACTAAGTCCACTTAGATACCAATGATGTGTCAGTTTGTTCTCTCTACAGCCGTGCTGCAGGAGGAGAGATGCAAGCTGAAACGGATCCTTCAGGCAATTTTTTTTTGGCACGTGTGGGTTCAATTCTTTGCGAACATGGTGTTTGGGATATTGGGCCAAATGAGAGTGTCCAACAGCAATGAGTCTGCGTTTCGATTGAATGATAAAGTGGGTGCGCTTGAACCAGTGCGCCGTAGATAGAGATGATAGAGATGATGGGCACTGGAGCAAACATGGAAAGGAGATGAACAGAGTACCCTCCGGCAATCAAACATGACAATGGAAAATTCCCTGTTTACAGAGACCTCCACGTCAGAGGGTATTTTTTGTCTTTTGGTGATGATCGATGGTGGTGCCTTGTGAGTTCCGCAAGATATTGGTTGTGGATCCCTGCAGGCCGTAGCTGGTGGCCAGAAGTGTTTGGGCGGCTCAGCCCGAGTCAAGGGTAATTTTGACATATTGGGCTTGGGGTCAAAGTTATTTCTGATTCGAAGCGGTGGTTTTTCTTACAATTCATTCCATCAGTTTTTGTTTTGAACTTTTTCCTGTTGCTTTCCATTTTCTTTCTTTGTTTCCACTCGTTTTCCTTTTCTTGCTTTCCTTGATTCGACAGGGCTGCAACGAAGTTGTTTTCAACCTTAGTCTGAAAATCCATCTGAAGGCATTGTTTTTGTGACACCCTCTAAAAGTGCACCATCAACTGCCTTCTTTTTGGTCTTCTTAGGTCTAAGTCTCGGGCGAACGATGAGGCGCAACTGAGCAAACTATCTCCTATCAGAAACACACGCCTTGAAATTGGAACCCATACATAGAATTCCATAGAATTTCTTTTTTTTGCCAGAGGTTTTGGATTCTGAATGCTGCTTGAGTGGTCGTCAAGTCACCTCACGTCACAGGCCAAAGACGTCTCACGTGTTTGTGCCGAGCTCAGGCCTTGCCCTTGCCACATATCGTAGAGACGGACAAAGCCACGGCTGAATGGATAGAAACCCTATGATACTTGGTTGTACCTTCTTTAAATAGTTTTTTAACATGACTTTATAATTGGAACTGGGTTCTAAGTTAGGACCTGACCACACTATGAATGATGGTCGGTAGGGGGAATCATCCCAAGAATGTTTTACTCACACTTAGGACCAAAACTCATATCATATCACTGGAACCTATCATGAATCATATACATGTTTATCTATTCGAAACTCGCACGCTTGGTCGCCATAGTAGCCAACATTCAGCGCATATTTCTTAACCGTACAGCAACCCCATGTATATATATATATACATATGTATGATATATACATGATATATCATAAATATATATTATCAGAATCATATACATAAATACGCACATTAATCAAACATATATATACTGTATATATATTATATATATATAATTATACATATTATGTATATATATATATATATTGATCACATATATGTGTATATTGATCACATATATACATATATATATACATACATATATATATACATACATATATATATATACATACATACATATATATATATACATACATATATATATATATATATATACATACATATATGTATATAAGTAAACACGAGCAGTACCAGCCATATATTAACCACATATTAGCCATATATGAAACATATATTATAGTACTTATTTACTATAATCATTTACCATACATGATCTGCCACGGTTCTCTCCGATTGAGGTGATTCCCTGGAAGCGAAGCTGTGTGGTTTGACAGCCAGCGTGGAAGAGATTCAGAAGCAGCTGGTGAGCCCTGCAGTCATGGGCGGGGTGGATTCGCATTAAAAAATGGGGGACTTCACCTTGGGAAAATGGGAAAATGGAGATTTCACTTGGGGATATAATAGGATTATGATGGATATAATAGGATTATGATGGATTATGCAAGTTAAACACTGTGATATTTGGGTTGGGTTTTCACACGGTGGCCCGGCAGCCAGGTAGCAGGGCAAATATTCTGGAGGGAAACCACTGATTCCTTTTTTGAAGTTACAAGTTGCCGATGGGCGAGTCTTTTGGGATGGGGTCATGACTGTTACAACCGTAACTGATGATTATGAGCTCCGATGTTCCACTTGGGCGACATGGGACTTAGCTTGAGGTTATTGAGCGGCAGTTACACATGAAAGTCATTCTGGGGTAAAATCTCTTGGAACGCAGTGTTTTTGATGGTCTGTTAACAGATTTCTGAATATCCATAGACCGATTAGAGACACAGTTTTTTGTGCCAGCATGGATTGCCGTTTTGTGTGTACTGGTTCCAAGGTCCAAGGGTGAGCTGCGGATGGATGCATGATTGCAGCAATTTTGGCTGAAGGCAGCTACGCTAGCCGCTAGCAGCAAGAAGTAGGACATGTCAGAAGTGGAAGAAAGAAAGGAAACACGGAACACAAAACGAAGAGAGGATAAGAACTGAAAGATTGAACGCAAAGGAAATTGCAAGGAAGTGCTGGCGTCAGAAGTGTTGGGACAACCGCCTCAATTTGTTCTTGAACAGATTGCTACAAGGGATTACGAAGTCCTATCTTGCAATGTTATTTTGGGAAAACGTGGTTCAAGGAGTTTCCAACGCAAGGAAACGGAGTAAGGAAAGGACATGTTCAGCACATTTGCAAGTATTTACTCGATTTGGTGGTTCTATCTTTCTATTGGATCTATTTGTTTTACTGGGGGGCGACTCCAATTTCAAGCCGGATGTGTTGTGGCTGCGGCGTGTGTCGCCGATTCTCCATGCTCCATGCTGCACATGTGGCTGCATGCGGCATCAGTCCTTTCACTCTGGCTACTTGGCTCAAGTTCTTCTTTCTCAACATGTTTTTTTCTGCTTATGAGGTTGTGGCAGAATTTGCTGAACATTTTCCCAGGAGCCAAATTTCGTTCCAATGCAACCAGTGACAAATTGGGGGTTAATTCTTGTGTGGACGACCTTGTCCACAAGCCTTGTTTGTTCTTTCAGGTGTACGACTAGCTCGTTGAAGCCTTCGGATCCTTCGGTGGGTTGGGGCAACCAAACCTGGCGCTACCGGTTATGGCGCGGTCGAGAAGACCTCCGCCAGCAAGCCACGACCTACTTTCACCAGGCGGCAAGGGGCTCCCTGCGCAGCTGGAGAGGCGGGTCATGGATGCTGGGGTTTCTTGGGGAAAGCAGGATATATAGATGTATCTCCGGTATTATTAGGTAATGTTGGAATTGATAGACATTAGTAGCAGGTCCAACAATCAGGAACCTGGGGAGAATTCTTGATGTCCAGTGATGCCGGGACGTCTCAACTCGTCTCCGAAGATGCACTCGAGGATCCAGCCTTGACCTTATGAGTTTAAGGATATTAGGGACTAATGGCAGTGGCAGAAAGCATTTAGCAGAATGAACAGAATGAAATGGTCCTGAGAGATCCTGAGAGTTCTGGGGCGTCCTCTCAAGGTGGCTAAGAGTGCAAACAGAACCGGTGAACAAAACACACAAACCTCGCCATCGATTCAGGGGTTCCCTGAAGAGGCTGCTATGGTATGGAATCTTTGCTGGGTCCACTGAAGCCCGTCTTTGACAGGCTGCTTCGGACACAACTTGGGCTGCACGACATGTTGAGCTTTCAATCATGACAAAACGGTTGGTGCAAGGGTTAATGATGCAATTGCTGGCCGGCGTTTTATTTTTTTGGTCAGTTTAGTATCAAGCATCAAAGTCTTGAGGCAGCCAATTGTAGGCTTCGCACACCGGCGATGCCCCAACGCTGTTATTGCTGTCGTTGCTGTTGTTGCTGATGGGGAGGGTCGGCGGCAGAAGCGAAAATTCAAAGGCGAAGGCATCGCCGGATTGTAGGGCTTCACACACCGGCGATTCCCAAAGAGTTGCTGTTATTCCCCAGAATGTCGCCCTGTTGATCTGCTATTGTTCTTTTCTTCTTCTTCTTCTTCTTCTTTTTCTTGTGGTTGTTGTGGTTGTTGTGGTTGTTGTGGTTGTTCCTGTGGTTCCCGTCGTTCCGTTGTTCCTGTTGTTCCTGTTGTTCCCGTTGTTCTGTTGTTCCTGTTGTTCCTGTTGTTCCTGTTGTTCCTGTTGTTCCTGTTCTTGTTCCTCTTGTTCCTGTTCTTGTTCCTCTTGTT